GTTTATTATTTTGCATATAAGTATTTAAGTAAAGATACTGATAATGACAAGTAATTTTTAGCAAAAAAAAAACCGACTTCATAAAAAAAAAAATATATCTATATATATATATATATATATATCTCATGATCCACTGATCGGATCTTAACCAGATTAGTAAGGGACCACCTATCTTACCGAAGGAAAAAGAATTATCGAAATCGGTTGACGTGGTCCAAAGTTATGCGGTAACATACATAAAAAAAATAAATAAAATAAAAAATAAAAAATATTCCGACGAACTGATAACCTCCTACTTTTTTGGAAGTCAGTTCAAAATATAATTGAACTCAGAAAGCGTCAGGTTATCACGGCGGTTAGAAGCCAACTTCAGAAGGCAGTTGCTGCGTTATCTGCTGGTCAGTGTTGTTCTTCATGGAAATTGTACTCAATGGAGGAATTTAAGATTTTAAGTCCATATTTATCACACTGAGACTTTAAGTAATGCAATACCTTTTGACAAATCAGTAGTTATATTTGCCGTTATTTCCACATGAATTTGTTTGTCTGCGTTTATGTTCTGGGCTTGCTCCCTGAGTTTCTCTTAGAATGAAAATCTCTCAAGTGGACCACCCAATGCGGTTTACAACCATAAAAAAAATATAATTTAAACAATTTTGAAAAATTCGAACTTTTACAAGAGTTATTGTTATTAACTCTTTTTTTGATGAATTCAGTAATTATTTATTATCCACTGATTCATAGCATGTATCTTGCTGCTCTTTTTCATGATAATAGTTAATTGATTGATTAAATTATTCATATAATCATTTTGTGCAAGAATTTCTAATATTTATAAAAAAATTTTATAAACAAATGCAAGTATTTATTACTTCTCGATCCGGTTTTTTTAATCCCGGGATTTTCGGGATTTGTATATTGCACTGATGTCAATAATAGAAACTCCTTTTCTTGGGCAGTGTCGGCTATATTTCTTTTTTTTTTATTTAATAACACCGCGCGATAGTAAATTTTAAACACAAATATCAATATATTCGCGAAACCATGGGCCAAATATAGTAATTTTGCATTTTTGGTTATTCACTCTGACGTCAGTAATTCAAAATAGATTTAAAAAATTCAGCGAAATGTGTTTACAGAAAAAGTATGGGTATCAAATTAAAGAGGAAGTTCTGTAGAGCTTAAACAAATTCAAGTTTTTGGTGCAGAAGGACTGGTGAGTATTGAAAATTTCCTTTTAAAATTTTATGCTTACAATTTCACAATATTTGTTTTTGAAAAAATTTATGTTATGGACTTATATAAACTCGATAATATCCTGGAATTTTGTCTTTCTAACTTTATCAGCTTAAAAAATTATCTAACTATTCGTTCTTGTGAATCCAAAAAGTTTTAATTATTTTAAAATCTAAAGAAATTTCCTCTTATATTTGGTACCCAAATTTTTATTCTAGGTTGCATTGAATTTTTAAATAACTTTTGGAATTAATCATATCGTTGAAATGAGAAAGTCCTTTAAAATAAATCCTGACGTCAGAGAGAAAAAATAAAAACGCCACTTTAAATAAAATAAAAAAAGTAGGTTTCAAACCCATTTATTTATTATTTATTTTATGGTAGGAGAGCTTCTCAAACAATATAGAAGCAATTTTTTGGATTTACATAAGTTGTTGACAAGTTATGAATATCCAAATCCCGGGACTAATCCCAGGACACTACACTTGATAAGACCTTGTAACCTATGCTCAGAAGGCTGATCCCGCGGTAGTAGGCGCGAATGGCGGGGTCGCCTTTCTTGTGGACATCGACTCCATCGCAGTTGACTGGGGGCTCGTGTTGGGAGGGCGGAGAAGTGTTCCCTTCATAATTTGAGTAGATTCTGGACATCGGTCTCTAGGTCGCCATGGTTCTTACAGCAGATTGGCCTGGTCTGAAAACCTTCCGTAAGTCGCCTAACTCTCTCATAAAATTTTCGGGCGTTTTTCCAGTCATCTAGCACTTCAAACTCTTCGTACTCACGTATTGCGGCAAATCGTCTCGCTTCCCACTTCAGTTCGCTATAACGGTCAGAGAAATGATAGGTAGCCCGGAAATTGAAGCCCATTATTCCTCCTCAGAGGATGTCGGGAAGTTTAATTATTTTGAATGAACCATTTAGTTGAAGTTCGTGCACCTTAGTGAACCAGTTTTTAGTTCAACAAGTGAATTTAGTTCACTAGTCAAATAGTCAATAACAATTAGTCAATAACAACTTTCGACATTGTAATATAATAAATGATAAATATGGGAGACGGTGTTATTATTTTCTTCCATACAAAAAAAAAATGTCGAATAAATTTACTTTGTATGGAACGAACTGCCAAAAAAATTGCTAAAGATAAACCAATTTTCAAGCAACTTCAAACTTGCACTTCGTTAAACTAAACTGGACTTTACCATTGCATACTTACATAGAATTTTTCTAAAAAATTTAAATAAAAAGTTGCAAATTGGTAATTAAATTTATTGAAATTTTTTGAGTTTTCACAAAGTTTATAGATTGTAATCTTATGTTTTTGTTATGAACTAAATTTTTATAAAAAATTACCTAAAAGAAATAAGAATAAGAACCGAAAAAATTTCCATATATTGCGAAAAATTCTCTGTGCCAATACCTTTGCTCCTGGTCGGGTATCACTCTAATACTTAATAGTTTACATCAGTGAATTTAAATTTTAACGGAATTTGTGGTGTATTTAGCAAATGGTTCGCAAAAGGCTTTTCCGAATGATAATTAAACTCGATTTCGAAGTGACGAACCACATTGCCCAGCGACATTTCTAACTCCAATTCAACAATACGCTTGCCCACACAGCTGCGCGGTCCAAAACCGAATGGTAAAAAGATAAATTTGCTCAAATTATCAGCAATTAGTTTTTCGTCTCCACCTGTCATATCATCCTGCTGTCGTAGCCAACGCTCGGGTAGAAACTCCCGTGAGCGGGGGAAAAATTTTTCTTCACTTAGCAAAAGATTGGAGTTTATAAACACGCGCGTACCTTTTGGTACCCGATAACCGCTAAGCGCCAAGTCAGCGCCAGTTTCACGCATATTTCCAAACGAAATCGGATAGGTGCGCAACGATTCCTTGATGCAAGCGCGCAGATATGGCAAATGTTTCATATTTTCAATGGTGAAGTGATCATCTCTGTGTGGCAGCACCTTCAACAGTTCTTCGCGTAATTTGTGCTGTTTTTCTGGATTTTTAGCAATGCACAGCAACACGGCTGACAGCGCAGAGGATGTCTGTGGTATTTCAAAAAAAAAAAAAATAAATAAATGCACATTAAATTTCGTTGCTTGTGTAAACGTTACCTTTCCCAACACTTACCGTATCCACACCAGCCATTAACATATCCATTGCCATAATAATGGCAATTTTGCGATCGATTTTTATAAGTTTCTCCAGCACACTGCGTTCCTCACCTTCCTTGCAAGGGTTCTGTTGCATGCGTGCTATGGCCTCATTGGCATACCGATTTGTCAGATCAAATATTGTATCACTTATTTTTTCAAAGCGCCGGTAAGTGGGCGTTCTTATGTATTTGTACAGTGATGGCTTTATACCTAAATCATAAAGGCATTTAATGAAAGCAGTTAAATTGTCGAAGAGTTGTCTGGCTTCCATCGAGTCGGGATTTTTGCGAATCAAACCGAACTCGTGATCCAATGCAACCACTGCAACTGATTCGAAGTTAAAACGATTGATGTCGGTCAAGAAATTGTCGGGTACTTCAAGTGTTAGCGGATCTCGTACGTCTCGAATTCTGCAAAGAGTAAGAAGTTTTCTATTCAAATAGAGATTCAAAATCGGTCGATGAAACGTAATAAATCGAAAAGTCAACTTTGGCTGGCCCACTTGAGGAAACTTGACTCAATATAAAAAAATGGTTAAGTATTCGGTGGCTGCTAACGTGACACAAGCTCCTGTGATGTGGTGGATGGTTTCTGTTTGCTTTTGGCATCGTCTGCATAGGTCGTTTTCAACGGTAGCACGCATAATATATTTCGAGTAGTTTCTACTCGCAATAACTTGATCTTGTATAGCGATCATAAAACCTTCAGTTTCGGCGTAGATACCGGAGTGAATTAACCATTCGTTGGAAGCAGCGTTATCTACTTCAGGAGCGTCTAGAGCATGTGGATATCTGCCATGAACCGCTTTCATTTTCCAGTCTTGCATGAGCGACTGGATATGTTGCGTTCCTGATATTAATTCGATTGCAGAAAATTCACTAAGATTTAATGGTGAATATTTTAAATCGGCTTTGCACACGGTTTGGAGTAGGCTGTTCTTTTGGTTGTGGAAGTATAAACGAAGGCTTTGTTTACACTTATTATGTAATTGCTTAATGTCTACCATCCCTCGACCTCCCTGTCGACGTGGCAAGTAGAGACGTTCTACTGCTGATTTTGGGTGATGCGTGCCATACTTTGTCAACAATGTCCTTGTTGCTCTCTTGACGTTTTCCAGTTCTGTTTCGGACCATTTTACTACACCAAAGGTGTATGTTAAAACCGGTATCGCAAATGCATTAATGGCTTTAAAAAGGTTATACCCATTCAAGCATGATTTCAGCAAGCTCTTTACTCTTTGGAGGTATTCACTAGTTACGGCTGAAACTATTTCACTGTGCTGCATCCTCCTAGCCTGTAAAATACCAAGATATTTATATGTGTCGCCTTCTGTCATTGAGTCTACAGATTCATGAGTCATTAATTCAAATTCTCGCCTTATAAGTTTTCCATTTTCCACACTTAATCTTCGACATTTTTCTAC